TTTTTTCATTCTTTATCCTCCCTCCAAACAAAAAATTGAATTTTGACGGTGAGGAACACAGGAGAGATCGAATCTGATCATACCTGCTCTTGGCCGAGAGAGTCGATGAGGGCGACGAGGTCGCCGACGAGGTGGAAGATTGAGTAGGCGGAAACGTCGGCCGGCGCTTCGGTGTCGCCGTAGCCGCGGAGGTCGGGGGCGACGGCGCGGTAACCGCGGGCGGCGAGGGAGAGTATCTGGTGGCGCCATGAATACCAAAGCTCTGGGAATCCGTGGAGGAAGAGCACCACCGGCCCTTCTCCCTTCTCCGCCACGTGCATCTTTATTCCGTTCACCTCCACCATCCTGTGTTCTATTCCTTCTCCCTCCATCTCTCTCTCTCTATCGATCGCTTGGGGTGTTTTTGGGTGCCTTTATACAATTACCAGAGGAGCTTTCCCTCTGGTTTGATAACTCTTCTCTACCACAGTTGTTAACAGCTACACGCTCAAATATACTCAGCCATAGAACACAATAATGCCTGCATTCGCATGATTGCTTCTTCCCATTTATTTAGTGAATTTAGGAAGATTTATTAAGTGAATTTATACAAACAGATTTTTAGGTATCCTTTACTACTTTTTACAAAGGTTATTTAGTACATAAATTTATAATTTTTTTTAAAAAAAAATTGAACTAAAAAATTACTTTAAAAAACAATACAAATGAAATCTTAGACTTTGTTTAAGACGACTTCATTACTGCTGTACTAAAAAATTATTTTAAGAAGCATTAAAAAAGCCGCCCAATCTTCGCTTATAAATTTGAGAGGTATGTGAAATCATGAACAATCCCATTGAAAATATCTCTCCCAAAAAAAATGGGATCACGAAATGATAATATCGAAAGGATTTTATGACTGATGGATTTGAGGATGATTTTGAGCTACATATACTATAATCTACCATTTATAATTCACAAATAAAGAATATCTTTATTTAAATTTGATTACCATAATTTTTAATTATTGGATTTATTTTAAGATTAATCTAATTTAAGATTAATTTACTCTACTAATTTTAATATTTCAAAATAAAAACATAAACTTAAAAAATAATACATGATTATGAATTTATGATAACTTGTCCTTTTTTCGAATTATTTTATAATATATTTATTGCCCCTAAAAAGATTACTGTAATTTTTGAGATATTTTTATTTTATTAAGAATAATTAGTTATATTTATTTTGATTTATCTTATAAGATTTTGTTTTAGGGCAGGTTAACTGTGTTTACTTTTTAAAACTCTTTTCTCAACCAAAATAGGCTTTGTTTGGGGCAGCTTTAAACTATTTTTTTATGCTTTTATAAATTTTTTTTACTAAAAAGTTATTTTACAAAGTATAAAAAGCCATCCCAAATGAAGATAGCTTTCTTAGGTCATCTCCAACCGAGAACTCTATTTTTCACGCCAAAAT